GTCTCTTCGTGCCACGTTTCTCACATCTCTGTGCCTTTGTTGGGGATTTTGCTTCTTCAGATGTCCCCGAGTACAGTGTGGGAGTGCTGCCTGCAGCCCAGAGCTGTAGAGGCTGGGACGTGCCTCGTGGACAGTTGTTATGGTGCTGCTGGCTTTAATTCAGTGATAACAGGTCAATAATATATATTGAATACGACGTCTTCAAACAAAAACACACATAAAACAAGTTTATCGACAAGTCGATGAAAAGATAACAAGTCACAAGAACTTAACCCTGTACTCCTCTATGAACAATGCCCAGTATTCCCTAAGTCGAGCTCATGGTGACTTCATAGAACAAACCCGCTGTTAAACAAGGAGAACCCACCGGCCTCTTCCTCTCTCCCACACACGTTCTACTTCCCCTTTTGCTTAGCCAGCAGCTGGGCCGTCAGGGTGCTTCACTTGGTGGGGTATGTTGACCCGTCATGACTGAAACCCCTGAGCTCCTTGTGATCCTCTTTCTTGGGTTGCTGGACTCACTTATTGACCTGCACCAGGATGTTCGATCACTACGAGGCATCCCTGGCCCAGTCACACGCCTGCCTGCCCCCACTGGCCAGTAGTAACCTACGTCCTCTTTAAGATGGGATTCACCCATCCCGCCACTAGAATATTCCCATCCTGGTCAGTGACACAGGAATCTAGGTGAGGCAGATGGCGATCTTAACTTCCTGTGCCAGGGAACCATCTCCACATGAAGAAGCATTTCTCTTGGAAATGAGGCCTAAGACATTTAAACCCACAGAGCTCCAGGCTATGGGAACACAAAGCAAAATCAGTTCAAGTGGGCTAGTAGGTTTCCAGGCCCATATGCCTCAGTAGTAGGAAAAGAAGCTCTATCAGATCTCTGATCTGAGACACATCATGCCCTGTAGGACAGCACCCCAGCTTCTCAAGGTGTAGTCTCCAGCCAACATGGACTATTCCTTTGTTCTTTCAGGCCACCTGCTGGGTGTGTAGTGAAGCATGACGAACCCAATTCTGCACCTCTCCACGGCGTAGAAGATAGCTCCCCAGCGCAGAGTACCATGAGCACAAACAAGGCACGCCTGAAGTCCAGGGAGCATTTCCACGCAGGAAGGCAAACCCATACCCAGAAAAGATGTCTTTCAACTCAGGATGAACCAACATGAGATGAGTACAATGTAATCAACTCACTGCGAGGTTTCTGGTCCCAAGCCACCTCTGGCCATCGGGCAACAGCATCCTTTAGGGGCTCAGTATTAGCCCTGCTGCTGGCAGACCAGGTCCCAAGCAAGCTCCATGGTGGCTGGCACAACAGACCAGTTATCAGGTCTCCCCTGCAGTACGTTTGTCTTCTGTGCATTTGCAAGGAGCCATGATTCTCCTGTTCTGTGCCCATCTCAGGAGTCACCCACAGACCTCCTTCCCAGATCTCCAAGTAACCCACCCTCTAATTTTTTTTTTTATAAAACTGCAGAGCCTTGAGCCACTGCCCACCTATCAGGGTAAATTTGTACCTCTGGGTATTTTCTCTGTCATGCAAAAGGAACAATGACGTATGCTTCCCCTGAGAGTCCTGCTCAGTGGGAGGGTTTCCTTACCTTCAACTGTTGGGGCCTTCCCTGTGTGGGCCTATCAGGTGGCACTGTTCTTGGCTGAGCACAAGGAATGTCTGCCCCCACAGAACCTGAGCTCTAGTCGTCCGACCGAGGAAGGACCGAGAGCCATCCCCAGTGACTACAGCTGCCACAGGGAGTCTTGAGTTTCAAATAAGTGCACCCATGTCAGAAACTGGCTTGGTCCAGCCCAAAGTTTACCTTCTGTCCTCTTCTGTGTAACACCCATAGAACTAATCCCTGGCATGTCCCTCAGGATTATGAATCAGCAAATTTGTTTGCTGTAGGAGGTTTCTACTCAGGAAATTCCTCACCCTGCTCTGTCCCTCAGAGAATGGTGGACCCAACTCAGGTTGAAGGTCTAGGTGCAAAGGTTATAGAGCTCATGCATGGCGAGGACATGTCTCAAAGGCAACGGAGCATTTCTACAAGGAAAACCTGCTTTCCTGGAACAGAGAGAAGCTGAGCAAGGCAGGCTCAGAGGAATAATGGCAGAAGTGCCACGGTTCTTAGCTCAGCAGATCCGCTCAGCTCAGGTGTTTCCTTCCCCCCTGTCCACAGGTCCCACTTCTTCTCTATTAATGCCATGAATTTAGCTTAGGGTTTTAGTAATATTGTCATTGCCATAGCGCACACAATTAGAAACTGAGTTTGACCCCTAGCCATGCCTGCCTGGCGGTTACAAGAGATAAATGATAATTTTAAGGCTGATGGTTGAATATATTTGTGCCTTGAACCAAAACTTCCAGGTCTAATTTTTTTTTCATTGCCAGAGGGCATGTGTACTAATCAGAGAGGTTTAGAAAGATGGAGAAAGAGCGGCCAGCAGGTGGTGTGGTGGTTAAGGCGCTGGACATTCCCACATGGCTGACCATGGTTCGAGTCTTGGACCTGGTGGCTTGCTTTCTCACTTTCCTTCTTTCTGTGTGTCTGTCTTTCTCTGGTCAAATTAAGATAAATGAATAAATAAAATTAAATAAATAATAATTTTTTTAAAAAAAAGAAAGATGGAGAAAAAGAGAAAGAAAGTGCTCTCCAATGAGGTGTGGTCTCACTGAAGCAGGCCAGCTTGAAGTTTAGCAGGATGACAGCCATTTTGAAATTTAAAAAGACCTCTAACAAGAACAATCTGACCAATTGTGAGTCATGGGGAGGTTTGAGGAATGACCAGAGGTTTGAGGAATGGTTAGAACCAGGGATCAGGGTCATTACTCAGGGGAAATTGATTGTGATTGGTTGTAATGAGGAATGATTTGCCCGTCCTTGTGGCTCAGATCCGTAAATACTGAGCACCTACTGAACGTTTTAATACCGTTTGGTGGTGCTTACTGCCTGTCGCCTGCGACTGGTTACAGAAATAAACGCCCTTCTTCTCGAGCCTCTGCCTCTTGTTTCATTGACCACAGAAGTAGCCAGACTCAGTTGACAGTAGTGACATTACAGTCCTTTTCCTCCATAACTCCATCCCATCAGGATTTGGGGCATGCACACGCGCGCCCACACACACACACACACATTGGTTAATTGCTAAGTTGCCTCGTTGTCCTAACTCCAATCTTTCAAGTAAAACCTGATTTCTTAGGAGCTGGATTGAAAGGTAAGAAAACTCCTGCCCGTATAGAACCAAGATTAGCTGGGGAACCTCTTTACAGGCCCTCCAGAAAGGAAAGGACTTTAGATTTGGGCTATAAGGAGTTCTGCAGAGAAACAGTTGAACAGATTGGTCTCACTCCACCTGGGGCTTTCTCAGAACATGAGATGAGGCTGTGTGTTGCCTTGCAAATACAACCAAACCCGTTGCCCAGTGTCAGAGGGGAAGCTGTGGTTCCATGTAACCCTGGAGGCCTGGGGTGTTTGGAATGTTGTGATCTGGTTACATCATGGCTTGCTTCATAGCAAACAATGGTTCTCATATTGAGAAACCCACAGATAATATAAAACAATCATATACTAGACTTATGATTTCTAAATGGTTCTGAATGTATTTCATAATAAAACGTCAATATTTTTAACTGGGCAAATGTAAGAACAATATAGTGTAATTTACTTGGGGAGTAGTTTTCTTTGCTTTCTTTCTTTTTTTAAATTGCCAGAAGGTCTGCATGCTTGCCAGGGAGAGGGAGCAGGCTGGCACCCCCTAGTGGGGTATGGTCTCACCGCAATCCTTTTTGTCCATAACTCCATCCCATCAGGATTTGGGGCATGCACACGCGCGCGCACACACACACACACACACACACACACACACACACACATCTAGTGTGTTTTTCAAGCCACTGGAGCTGGGAATTGAACCATACTCAGCCATGTGGGTCACAACTCCCAATGCACAGTATTTATCCACTGCTCTATGAGACCAGCCCAAAACTTCCAGGTCTTTTCCGGTAACTTTCTGAAGACTCTCCAGTGTCATCAGAAACCCCATAATCTCTGTGATTAGAATTACCATGTATTAGTCCAATGCAGCCTCTTCAATCGTCTAAAGTCTTCACCCCAACCATTACCTCAACTCAAGGAACAAAATGAGCGATGATTTGGGCAATCGTGATGCCGCCGTCTGTCACAGGTGACTGGTCCATGCCTCCCTGTGCAAGAAAGCTCTCCTGCTCCATGCTCAGACAGGTGCCAGAATCCCAGCCTGAAGACCAGATTCTGAAACTAATTTAGGTATCATTAATTTTATCATTCAGGGTACAATTTGAAAAACAAGGACCATTCCGAGTACTTAAAACAGAGGGAATCTAAAGTAGGAAACTGGTTATACAGGGGCAGAAGAGCAGAGAAGCCAAATCAAGGGCACGACCAGAGGTTGGCAACACAGGAAGACACTACCGCCCTGGGAGAAGGGGCAGAGGGGACAGCGGGGGGCCTGGAGCCCAACATCCAGGGTCACCTCACAGAAGAGAGGACTGTAGCAGGCCTGACAGAAACCAGTACCACAGAGAAGGTGCAGCCATGGCCTGAGACACACATGGAACAGAGAGAAGGGGAAGCTTGTGGCATTTCCCTTCCCCTAAATCTGCAATCAGCTACCATGGTCCCATTGCACCAATCAGCTGTTCTGAGAGTCTGTGAGGTGAAGCCTGCAAAGGTTACCTCCAAATATTATAGAGCAGAGCATGGGGCAAGCGAGGAAGCGACCTGAGAGAAGAAACTGCCCAAGGCCAGCCCTGCAGGGCGGGTGGGGTCGGCTAGAGTCAGTTACGTAAAGCAGTTTGTGCCGAAAGAGCGAGCTCAGCCTGTGTGGGTCCGATGACTTCGAGTGACGATCTAAATAAACTCTTGTGACTTATCAATAAAACCACTGACTGTGAATAAACAAGAGGAAAGGACAACATGACATAGGAAAACTCGAATAAGCAAATATTGGTGTTAGATAAGCAGTCCATCATTCCCAATGCTCTGGGCATGGTGGGGACCTTAGTATACAGGAGACGCGTGCGGCCTCACTCTGTCTAAAGTTGAAATAGGGGCTGGGAGTCTCACTCCCTCGCTCTCACACCTGCCACCACTGGCCTGCCTCTGAGTCTGGGCAGGCACACAGACAACTACCCACAGTTCACAGATGTGAACCCTCTTTTGCAACATTGCGGTTGCATATCATTTTCAAGATTTATTCACTATCTCAAAAGGCGTCAAATTAAACCCTATCACAACATCGGGTTACAGCAGGAGGAGCCGAACGTCTCGGCTGGAAGCGGTCTTAGAGGTGGGCATGTCTGTGTTCTGGCCCTCTGGGTCTAATCTCAGGAGAAGGAGATCACGAATATTAGGCTCCAGGCCAGGGATACTGTTGCATTTCCTGCTTTTAAAGCTGCCACTTCTTTTCCTTTCTTTTCTTTTTAAGGAGAGCTGTTAACCTCTTTTTTCTTAAACTGACTCTTATGCAACAAAATATTACTCGCTACTGGTTATTATTTTAGAACTGAAGAACTTGGACAGAAAGAAGCTACGTAACTTATTGCTGAAGGTCATGCAGCAATTTAAAGGTAGCCCCAAAGTAAAAGCCACTTTCCAACTCCTAACCCAGTGCTCCTGTTTCAACAAGGGGTGGATGCCAAGAATGGGGATGCGCTGTTGCCAGGAACCCAGCAGTCAACGATGGAGCAAGAGCACACTGCATTCCATAATGTCCCCAGAGGCAACCTTCAAAGGTAAGCCCAGACCACAGTCTAAAAGGAACACTTGCGCCAACCAACCTGTGTTGCAAGACAGCTTCGAACATCAACTAAACATGGGACTACGTCAAGCTCCGAGTGAAAACTTTCTGAGGAGAGGTCTGACTCCGGATAACTCTGTTTTTCATTTGGAAAGAAAGCTTGTCCCATTTAAAATCCTACTCTCAAGTGCATTTCCTCTGTCTTTGGTCTGCCTCTCCTGGGTTCTCTAAGAGTTTGGCACAAACCTCCGGCACCCACGTGGCTATGTCACATGGCCACATTACGTGGCCTTTCCCTGTGGCACCTGCTTCTACCCAGCCTACATGCTGTCAACTCTGCATCTCTACAGAGCTTGCCAGAGACCCCAGCACGAACCAGCACCTGGTAAATATTCACTCCAGAAGTGAATGATGGATCATTGCACCTAGTACAGACGGACAACTCCTATATCATAAAATTATTGATTGGCAATGCATAAAATATTAATAGGAAGTTAGTGCTTTTAATTCAGAATTTTTTCTTAAGTAGTGAATATGCCCTTTGATAGATCATTTTCATTAAGATTTTACTGAGTAATTTATTAAGAATTTATTTTTAAATGGGGAAGATGAAAAGATAAACTCTAATTCGAGCATTAGCACGGATACAGATTTTCTGGAACCGGAATTAGTGAGGCTGAGTTGTTGCCAGCCAAATCTCTATGTCTCAAGCTAGGTGTCCCCGAAGGGAGACCTTAGGACAAGTCTACAAGTGCAAACAGTCTGTTTGGGAGGTGACCCCATGGCGGGGAAGAGAAGAAAGCCAGAAAGGTTGTGTGAATGAGGCAGGGACATGTCACAGATGGCCAGGGCTGGATCCCAGCAGGGCGCTCCAGAGAGGAAGAGGAGCACACCCTGGGTGGTCCCCAGTCCAGGGCACACACCAGAAGCCCATGCTCTGAGGACTTTCCCCCAACTCCTGTCCTCCTGCTTCCTCGTTCCTGTTCCTGGTCTCTGCTCAGCCAGAGGGGGCCTACTGAGAGGCAGGGCAGCCACAGCTCCCAGAGTGACCACCCAGGCGACATCCTGGTACAAGGAGGATGGGGGTGGGCACTGAGCCAGGCTTGGGAGCCCAGTGCCACTTCCCAGCTTAGGCACCACCAAGTCGTCCTCTAACGTGGCGACTCTCAGGGGTCTCCGTATGTCACTATCCACCAAGCCTCCAAGCCAGCGGGACTCCCGGGAGCTCCCACAGGAGTACCTGGCGTGTTTAGGCCCACCTGGAATCTTAACCCAGGGCTCCGGTAAGGTTCCCTACCATCCGTGCCACTGTGGCTGGCCTTCTTTACATGACTTTTAAATGCACACAAACAGAAGGGCATGTAGATTACTGGGGAAATTAACTTTACAGGCCGTCGGCCAATATAGCACAGCACATAGTAGGTCTCACTATTCTTTAACTTTTTATTTGGAAGTCATTTCAAACCTCCAGAAATGTGCCAAAAAAAAAAAAATTGCTCCAAAGTACCCCTGAGCTCCTTACCTCCGAGCTCACCTGTGCCTCACACTGTACCCATCACTCTGTCACTTGCCATTGTCACACCTGTCATTTTCCTGAACCGTTTGAGAGGCCCTTCTAGCGTGCATTTGCTCAGAGCAGGGAGAACCTCTTCCTATCTGCAGTGCAACGGGCAGCATGGCTCGCTCCAGTGTCAGCACACGTACCTGCTCTGCCAGCGTACTTTCCTAGTTTTGTCAGATGTCTCGCTGATGTTCTTCACAGCACTTACTTCCCTCCAGAGCAAGATACTCCCAGGATCTGATACTGCATCCATTTGTCATCACCTGCAGGCAGGAACATTCCCTCGGCCTTTATCTTTTATGGCATTGCGTTTCTGAAGGAATGCCTGCTTAAATAGAATCAGCCTCATCTGGTTTGTCTCATGCCTTCTGTCTGACGCCCTCCTGGGCAGTAAACTACAGACCTGATGCCGCATCCTTCTCCGGGCATCCTACCTGGAGATGCGACACTGGCCACCAGTGGCCCCTCCCCATTGCTGCTTGTTGCTGACACACACCGGGGGCACTTCTCACCGTGCGGCCGCTGCTGCTTCCCTTGCAATGGTTGGGCAGTCCAGGGCACACACCTGAAGCCCATGCTCACGCCCCAGTCCTCTTTATAAATGTCTCATAGACTTAACGGCCACCCACGATTCCTGCCTGATCAGTCTTCACTGGGACAACACTGAGCAGTTTTCCATCTCTTGTACTTCCCATTCAGCAAGCAGCACCCGCCCCTCCTCTGAGCAAGAGCTTACCACCTCTCCCCGCATTTATCCTTTCCTTGCCATGTGGACTTGCAGATGCCTGCCTCCCCAGTGGCTCATCTTTCGGAATTCCATTGTTGGGATGCCCAACATGTGCCAGGTTTGACCAACAGGAGCCCCTCCAGGTGCCGTGTCCTCTCAGTATGTCCCATCTTTTCTGTAAATCACTCCTTATTTTGTGGACACACTAGGTTACTCCACATTCACGTTCCAGCCCTGAATTCAGCCCTGCACTGTCCCGGGTCTGAACTCAACCATTTCTCGGATTCCTGGCTCCTTGGGGCATAGTACCAGAGACCCAGATGTGGGCGCCGGGGGTGGGTTTGCACCTAGGTCCTTCCAGTGGACACAGCGCTCAGCGATTTCCTGAATGAATGAACTGATCAGAGCATTTCTGTCATGGAGACATCCTTTCCAAAGGTCACTTCTGTCTGAAACAGCATAGAAAACAAAGTCTGTGAGGGGCCAGCAGGTGGTGTGGTAATTAAGGCATTGGACTCCCACATGGCCAACTGCGGTTTGAGTCCTGGACCCAGTGGCTTTGAAAATAAGCTGGGGGGGGGTGGGTGGGGTTTGCACCTAGGTCCTTCCAGTGGACACAGCGCTCAGCGATTTCCTGAATGAATGAACTGATCAGAGCATTTCTGTCATGGAGACATCCTTTCCAAAGGTCACTTCTGTCTGAAACAGCATAGAAAACAAAGTCTGTGAGGGGCCAGCAGGTGGTGTGGTAATTAAGGCATTGGACTCCCACATGGCCAACTGCGGTTTGAGTCCTGGACCCAGTGGCTTGAAAATCACGCTGGGCGTGTGTGTGTGCCCAAGATCCCAGGAGGAGAATGGAGGAGAGGGCTTTCAGTGTGGCCATCCTCCCACAGATTTCTCACTCTCCATCTCTGTGTCTCTCTGGCAGCACATGTGCCCTGTGGTAAACTCAATTAAAAAAAAAAACTTTAAAAAAAGGAAAAAAAAGAAAACAAAGTCTGTGTTCTCTCTGTGGAACAACGAGCCCTAGAGAAGTAGATGGACAGGGACGCTGCATTGAGGACTGTGGCTCCCTGTGCGACAGGGCACTGCAGTGAAAGAATGAAAGACGCTGCTGGCGTGGCCCAGAGTCACTGCTGGGCTCGCGGTTCCAAGCCCATCCTGGCACTGCTTGCTCGGGCAGAAGCCCCCAGGCGGTTTTAACTAGAAAACAGCAGTGCACTTTCTGGGTCACTTGGGGGATCATGGGACCTACTTGAACTCTTCATTTGCTGTGTCCATTACATGAACTCAGCGGCCCCAGGAGACTCCTGCCCACACTCTCCCAGGCAGTCAGGAGCAGCGTTTGCCTCAGAGAGCATCCGGCCCACTTGTTCTTCCTTTTGAAAACATTCTATTGTGGAAAAGTTCAAACCAGGAAAAACGCCATGTAGCCGCACCTGCCGTCCTTATTCTATCTGCCCACTCCTTGCTACTGCATGCTTTTGGCAAGAAAAAGACTGTTTATTTTCCTCATGATAGAGAGCACTTGTGCACAAGAGTGGGGTTGTGGGGATCAGCCTTCGCAGGGTCTCGTCACGGTCCCTGCCCCCCAGTCCTCCAGCTCTTCAGGACCTTGGGCATGTGCACAGGTGCCTAGCATGTGTTCAGGCTGACCTGGAGGTCCAAACCCATGGCTGGCCCTGTGGCTTCCAGCACTGCAGCTCCATTTGACAGCGACTGTGCCATCAGACTGGAAATGCTGGAACAGATTATTAATGTGCTCCAGTACGCATCCCTGACATTTAGAACCAATGCCATTGTTAAATACAGCAAAGCTGAAGAGTCACGATCCAATTATCTAATACCGTCCAATAGTACTCACCCCATGGGTAATTTCCTCCAATTAGCTCAAAAATGCCACTTGCATTTTGTTTGACATAATAATTCCCCTCTCTTTTTTAGTGCCATTTACTCCTTGAAGAAACGGTAGCCTTGTAGTCCCACCTCCTGGCTATGGCTGGCTGTCAGCTTGCTCAAGATGTGTGAGGAATGCCCAGCTCGGGAAAG